TCATTGTGATGGAAAATATTCATTTAACTGTTTCATGGAAGTTAATTCTCTTCTAATAGAAAAGAAATATAAAAGCTGCTTCAGTCTTTTTGGTTTCTCTATTAAGCTATTGACCCTAACTATTAAATGGTGATTAAGATATTTTAAAACAAATTATAATTTTCCAGAATATTAGAATTTATTGTTTTGAAAGCAGGCACGATTCTGGAGTTGAAAGATCAATAAAACAATTCATTAAAATTATCATCAGATAATCCTTTACTTTTTAATGTATGTGTTCAAAGCTGTCATACTATGAGCTATAAGGCCTTGTTTTACTTGATCAAGAAACGAATGTGACTTTATGATCTGCATTCAACCATGAACAGCTGCTCATTAATAAAAAGCTATTAAAGTGCAAGTCAAAACAGCAGGTCTAAAATCGTGCTTGAGGGAAAACCCACCCTTTGGTGAAAAGCCAGGGAATTGGGTTGGGGATATCCAGAAACACTGTGCTGTGTTTGCAAGGTCTGTCCTACCTCCTCGGCAGGGAGGGGGCAGAGGGTCAGTTGACAAGACTGTACTCAGACCCAGCTGGGGAACTCAGAACAACAAAGCCTATACAAACTTTGAACCAGTAGAGTAAGTGGCGGGCTAGAAACTGATACTGTGAATAAATCAAGCTGGAGGTGGGGCAGAAGCAGACCAGAAGCCTTAAAATGGGCAAAATGATTTGGACACAGAGCAGGCAGAAGTAACTATACCTCATGGAATAGAGCCAATCCAGAGAGAAATTCTCATATACTAGGTTTATCCATTATGCCCCTCCCACTTGACATTTGGTGCCCTGCCCCCGTCCCCCCAGTCCCACACACACCTTGGGAGAGGACAGGGATTAAAATTGCATACTCTTTAAGAGGTGGTTCCCCAGAAATACCCCAAATTGTTGACACTTAAACAATTCCCAATTATAGAGTTACTACTCAACAACCAGTGTAAAGATGATTCAATAACAGTCTTTTGTAGGTATTATTAAAGTAAAATTTAAATTTGCAATCTTTAGCAGGCTTTGTGTTTTTGTTTTGTTAATGTGTTGAGATACAAGCGTTCGCTAATGGTTTTATTTTGAAATGACTAATAAACCTGAAGAATAATGAAAAAGATGAAAATATCATAGCAGCATAATAATTTGAAGCAAAGATAGAGGTCTCTAAGGAGAAAAGCTATTGTTGAAAGTGTATGCCAGGATGTAGCCTATTTAACAGATTATTGGAATTCAGGCATTAGAAGGGATTAATGTTAGAGTGGGCGTTTAAGGAACTGTAAGGGATTTAGTGGACTTTGGGTGGTGTAGTTACTGGGAGTGACGACGATGCACTAGCAGTAGTTGCAGCAGCCACAGGAACAGCTACTATCAAAGAACGTTTTCTATGTACTAGCTCTGCGCTAGGTACACTAGCTATTCTATGAAATAGTCACTATTACTACGGCCATTTTACTGATGGGGAGACCGAGGTTTCCAAAGATTGAATAATTAACCCACAGTTACACAGAACCATTCCAAAGCAAGAGTCATATAAATTTAGTTTCTTATCCTTTTGGGGATAACAGGTTAAATTACTAACAGAAATGCAATGCAGATGGGAGAGCACAAGAAAGTTAAGTGGACTATTACGTGCTACATCAGGGTGGGAGAACAAAGATTCTTTGTTGTAGTCAAAGTTGTAGTCAAGGAAGAGGTTTAAGAAGAAAAAGGCTGGTTCAGGAACAATTTACATCTACTCTTTCAACCTTTGATCATATAAACTCGTATCCTCTTTTCATCAGTTGCTTTCCATCAGTGGAGCAGATAATAGTTTTATTGAGGGTCTCTCAAACACAAGAGCCAAGGCTCCTAGCCTTTGAATAGCATACACAAGAAGAAACGAATCAGACTATGAAGAGAGAACTATCGAAAGGAAGAACAACTTAGTTTGGGAGAATGGCTACCCAGGCTGTAAGCGAAGAGAAAATACAGGAACGCGGGCAAGTGCCACTTTTTAACTGCCAGTTAAAGAAAATTAAAAAAAAAATTACTCGGAGAAGGCTTAATCCTGAAACAAATTTAGCATTTCTGACCCCTCAGGTGGAGGAACGATTGGGATCTAGCCTAACCAGGTCTAAATTATCCTGAGACAGCGGAAGCTCCCTCAGTTTTGCAATCTTAAGTTTTGCTTTTCTAGGTCCCATCTGGTAGGGGAGTTCTGAGGATGGAACGGAAAGCATGGGGAGGTAAATACTTCGCATAGAAAGTAGGACAACTCGGCAGGAATCCACAGGCTCGGTAACTATATATCTTGTGCAGCCAGCAACGGTCACAAAAACATCCACAGATCAAGCCTCGGCCACGCCCGAGCCTACCGCTGCTCTCCCCGCCCCCAGCGCTCATTGGTTCTCAGCCCCGACGCCGGACCCGCAGCCTAGCTCCTACAGGGTCAGACAGGCCCTGGGGCGGGGTGCAGAAGCGAGGTCCTGGAGACAACCGAGAACCGCCTTCAAGGAGGGGGTGAAGGGGGAGGGGCCGAGGGAGGGATTCCCGAGGAGGAGGTGGCTATGGCAGCTGCGCGGCGACAACGGCGGCTGCGAAGGAGCGCGCGCCCGGCTTTGAATGAGCGGTGCTGGGACTGAACGAGCAGAGCGCGCGCACGAGGAAGCGACCGGCAGGGCGCGCGCACGCGCCTTGAGTGCGCGCGCGGCCCGCGGCAGCTCGGAGCCTTCGCCGGGCAGGCGGGGAGGGGGAGGGGCAGGTGAGTGTGTGCGGCCCGCGGGCGCCGGCGAGGGACTTCCCGATTCCTATCCCCACGCTGACCCCCACTCCTGCCTTTGGCGTGTCATCTGCCCTTTACCCTGCCATCCCCTCTCCACGCCCCACACTTCCCGCCCTTCCACCTTTTCGCCCCTCCACCGGGCCCTGACCGCCTGACTGCCACTCTGGGGACTATTTCCGGGTCAGAGTGACCTCTGGGGTGAGGGAGCAGCGACTGGGTGCCGGGCCTGGGTGTGCAGCACTCGCCATGCAGCGCTCACGCGTGGGGAGGCAGGCCTGCGGGGCACCGGCCTGGAGAACCTCGTTCCTAAATCTACCCCGAACAGGGAAATTTGTCGGCCCTTCGTATCCCCACCCTCACAGGCCCCGCACTTCCCAAGTCACATTTTTCCAAAATCAAAAACCCAGCCCACCCGACAGCCACCACCAGCCACTAGAGCATTTGGCCAAACGCCATGCGCGTGGCATCGGCTTGTGTAACCTGAAAACGCGCACGTCGTTTTTCTCATCTGTGCAGTGGGTACGATTGTTTTTTTTCCCTCAGTTTGATGGGTAGTCTGAAGTTAACATTTTAGTTACGAAACTCATTTTCCTTGTGAGCCATTCAGGAAACCTTACTTTTGCGAAGAGTCTCAGTGGTGTCACTTATTTGAGGGACTGGCTTTTAGTTGACAGTACAGACTTCGCTTTTACTACTGCCCTCCACTTCTATTTCCTCTTCTCTCTTGGTTGGTGCTGATAACCTTAGCTTTTCAAATTTAAGCAAGTTCAGGTAAATTTTATTTGTGAAGCTTTGTGACATTTCTTAATTCAGAGAGTTACAAAGTTAATTTGAGGATGTATGGGACTATCGACTCGACAGCAACGGGTTACTAGATCATATGTTATTTCATAATTTGGTATTTAAAAAATTTAGAAATATACTCTTGGGAATTTATGCCAGAAGAATACGTCAGTCTTAGACAATGTATGTTTAGCGTGTACCAACACGGATATTGGCTTGGCTTGGTAATGAATTGTGATATAGTGGATGTACTGAAAGGATCTTACCAGCAGTTTACAGTAATTACAGAGATTAATTTGATCAGTTTCTAATGCTAAATTTTTTTTTTTTTTAACTTTAGATGAATCTTTTTTTACCTGATGTAGCATATTGGTTTCTAGAGATGTCATTTCTTCAGAAGTCTTTAAGTATAAGTTTGCTTCACGATTCTGAACCTTCCGGTACTGCTATGGCTCAAGTTTTTGTATTTGCCTAGAAATTTTTAAGGACATTTTAATTTTTAAGATTAGACTCTGTTAGCATTGCTCTGTTCTGGAAAGTATTTTGAAGCAACCAAAATGCAGAATAGCCTAAGATACATACTTATCAAATTGTTCATGTAGAGGACATTTCAAAACTCACACTGAAGCAATGTATATAAAATTAAAAGGTTTCTTAAGTAGGATATGGTTAACCATAGCCTGGGCTTTGGGCTGAGGCTCTTTAAATCCTGGATGAGTGAATTTCTTTGCCTCCCTATCAGCTTCATCAGTTAAATGGGAATATAGTGAAATTTTTCTGGTTATCTTTAGGATTCCAGTGGGGTGCTAGAACCTACATTGGCTAGAACTATGTCTTGCACATATTAAGTGCTCAAGGAATGTTAATTTCTCTTCATTCAGCAAATACTTGAGTCCCTACTATGTGCCTGTCATTGGCTGAGACATAGAAATGCTAAACTGGGAAAGATGGATGGGGCCTTGCCTTCTTAGTCCCTTGCATTCCATAGGAGTTAGTGTGTGGACAAGCTCATGACAATTGAGCAGAGAACACAGGACCTGTCTGTACTGGGTCAGTAGTGTTTCCCAGCAGGTAGGATAGTGTCTGTTGCATTTGCTGTTAGGTGCCCTCAAGTTGGCTCTGACTCATGGTGACTTATTGTATAATAAAATGAGACGTTGCTGGGTCCTGTGCCATCTTCATGATCTTTGGTATGTTTGAGTCCATCATTGTGGCTCTCGTGTCAATCCTTCTCATTCAGGGTTTCCCTCGTTTTCGCTGACCGTCTGCTTTACCAGCCATTATGTTCTTTTCTAGAGATTGATCTTTCCTGATGACGTACAAAGTAAGCAAGCCAAAGTCTCTCCATCCTCGCTTCTAAGGAACATTCTGGTTGTATTTCTTCTAAGATTGATATGTTCTTCTGGCAGTCCACAGTATATTCAGTATTCTTTGCCAGTAACACACTTCTAAAGCATCAGTTCTTCTGCCTTCTTTTTTCATTGTCCAGCTTTCACATGCATGTGAGGCGATTGAAAAGACCATAGCTGGGGTCAGTCGAACCTTAATCATCAAAGGAAAATCTTTGCTCTTTAAAACTTTATAGAAATCTTTTGTAGCAGATTTGCCCAGTACACTAGGTGGTTTGATTTTTGACTGCTGCTTCGATGGATATTGACTGTTGATCTAAGTAGAATATCCTTGACAACTTCAATTTTTTCTCCATTTATCATGATGTTGTTTTATTCATCCAGTTGTGAGGATTTTTGTTTTCTTCATGTTCATTTGTAGTCCATACTGAAGGCTGTGGTCTTTGACCTTCGTCACTAAGCGCTTCAAGTACTTGGAAAGCAAGTTGTGTCATCTGCATATCTCAGGTTATTAATGAAGCTAAATATGTATTCATCAAATTGAATTGAAGTATTAATATAAATCTCTAAGGTTATTCCTGCAAAGCAGTATAATGATGAAGTCAAAAGTGTTACTTAACAGTCTGCTGATTGCATTTTCCTCATTTAATACAACTGGTTGGAAAACTTAACCTTGAAAATTATATCACCACCGAATGACTAAGAATGTTGGTAATTGTTAGGGAGGTATTCTTGTCTTTTGATTAAATAAACCTAGATTTGAATCCAAGTCATCGGGTGTGGCAACATGGGAAAATATGCTTACTCTCTGTGCTTTGGGTTTTTTTTTCCTACTGTAAAATGAAGATAATAATATGTACCTCATAAAGTAGTTTTGTGGGTAAGTGAGCTAATAGATAGTGCTTGGCACATAGTAACCTGTCTATGAATATTAGTTCCCCTCTTTCATTAATCACAAAAGTAATAAGGATATTCTTAATTGCTTGGGAGGAAATTCTATTCTGCAATCGGTAACAGTCCGCTCTCTAACTGATTTTCTGTTGGAAAAAATGTAAAACTTTATTTCCAAGTATCGTTAAAATCATTAAAGCTGGCAAGTACTTATTGAACAACTACACCAATATTATTAGTGGGAAAGTGATGGCTGTGGTTACTAAGCCTCTGAATAAAATTTATTCTCAACTCTTCATTCATTCTGATGCCACTCGCTCCAGCCCAAATATTAAGTACTGTAATCTTCTTTTCCCTTTAAAACATCCTCCTAGAATATTTCCTCAGTTCTGCCTCCTTTTCCCAATGCCACATGCTTTACAGTCTCTTTCCTAGATGACTTTTTTCTTTAATAATTTTTCATAAAATTTATTTTAAATGTTTATTTAGGGAAATTTGCTTTTCTTTTGGTCAAGAGTTTTATTCTTGACCAGTCAGCTTTAAAATGAAGCTTTTATCATCTTAATTGTTCAGATCTTTCTGCTTATAATGAAGCAGTTGAACCTTTATTCATGTCTGTCTTTGCAGATGGTAACCAGAAGTGCCAGGTGAATAGGATCCTTCAAAGAAGGATTGAGCAGGGTGATAAGGTATATAGAAATATGGTGACACAGTGGTTAAGAGTTTGACTGCTAACCAAAAAGGTCGGCAGTTGTAATCCACCAGCTGCTCCTTGGAAACCCTGTGGGGGGCGGTTATACTCTGTCCTGTAGGGTTAATGTAGGTTGGAATCGACTTGACGGCAATGTGTTTGGTTTTTGGATAGTACACAGTAGAGTCCCTGGGTGGTGCGAACAGTTCAGCACTCTACTACTTAGCCAAAAGGTTTGTGGTTCGATCCCACCCAGAGCATCTTGGAAAACAAGCCTCGAGATCTGCTTCTGAAAGGTTACAGCCTTAAAAACTTCATGGAGCAGTACTCTGCATACGTTGTGGTCACCATGAGTCAGAATTGACTCAGTGACAACTAACAACATAGTACAAAATAGAAAACATAAGTGCAGTAAGAGAAAATACTGGAATTAAGACTTTGTAATAGTCTAGCTAAGAGGTAATAAAGGCTTCTGCTATGGACATTTCAGTGGAAATAAGGAAGAATATAGGCAGTGTTATGGAAATAAAAAAGATTTTTTGGCACTTTAGATGTTAGAGGATGAGGAATAAAGAAGACTCAAAATTGTTGCATTTTTATTGCTAGGGAACCTTTTGGAACTCTAATAGTGTACCTATAAGAGTCTACATGCCCTTTCTAACCCTAGAAATAGAAAGGGTCTAGCTGTGTGTTTTGCCTTTTTTTAAGAAAGGACTAGCAGTAGTATCTCT